GGCAGGCTCTGGGGGAACTCAGAGCACAGAACTGCTCTGAACTAGGCCAGCTGGCCAGAAAGAGGGATGTGCAGCTGAACTAAAAAAAAATCTTTTTTCCATTTAGAGGTTTAAATGGAGGTGAGCAGGGGAGAATCCAAATAGTAGCTGTCTGGAAGTTGTTCAAGGAGGCCTGGGAGGGCGCGTTCTTCCTGGCAGCACCCTTGGGCAACCCTGCAAGTTTTCTAACAGGCACTCCAGCTGGCTGCAGGATCCTAAGGTTCCTCTGGCAACCAGGGCCAAGACTGTCCCTGTAGGAAATACAGCTCTCTAACCCTTGATGACAGATTTTATGGCCAGATTAGTGAACAGCAGAAAACTTGGGTGTTAAAAGGGGCCAAGAGAGCCCTCCTTCCTCCCTGCCCGTCTCCTAGGAATCTTACAGCATAGATTTTATCCATGACTTTACCTGCTTTAGCTGAGTAGTTGGACTCCTGCAGTCAGAAGAGTAGGCAAGACCAAGCCAAGTGGGTCTTATATTTTGTTTACATCCCCAGCTTTAAGCCAAAGCTGTGCTTTTCATATATCTAGCTAATGCTCTCTCTTGTCCTCTTTCCGCAGTCCACCCCCCACAGCCAAATATGACCCTTCGTCTAGTTATATCATTCAGAAAATGTTACTCAGGGAAGAGGAAGAGAAAAAGAAAGACCCTTGAGCGTTATTTGATCCCAATCAAACTTTGCACGCTCTTCTGCCTTTAAATTATAGCCTGACCCAATGCTAAATTGCTTGCTGCCTGGATGAGCAGAGTCCAGTTAAAAATCCTACTTGGTGAGGAGGGGGCGTATTATTCAGGTTGCTTTTTTATTGTTATTTATTGTTGCATAAAGACTGCAATTACTAACCTTGGACTGCCAGGATGCAACATAAAAATGAAAATCAACCCTCACTTTAAGACTGAGGGCCCGGAAGGGTTTTCACCCCCTCCCCAATACCACCAAATATATACTCCTAATTAAGCCATGCGGGCGCATCGCTTACAATTAGAATTATGCAACTCTTCAGCAAGCAGCCATCGCTTTTCTTTCAACGAATTAGCTCCATATTTCAGCCTCGCTGTCTCCTCGCTCTTATCGGCTCTAGCGACGCGGCGGTGACATTTCATCTTTGACAGACCCTCTCTATCCTCGCTCCAATGTGATAAAACTTTTATGGAAACACAGTAAGAAATGAAGTTTTCCCAAGGAGCGTGGAAACCGGCGGGGGGGGGTACATTATTTATGCTTGGCTCCAACAGCTTTCCTTAACCTCTTCTCCCCGTCCCAGGCAGAACGCAAACTAAACTCCTCTCCTCTGCCCTAGGTTTCATTTAGTGATTTAATTTCACTGTAGTTTTAAGGCTTGATCTGAGAGGTCTACGTAAGCCTGGTATTTTGTTGTGGGTTTTTTTTTTTTCCAGATTAATCATTTTCCTTTGTTTTCATTTTAGACCCAATGAGGGTTGGGCTTCAGGTCACGTGACAACCTCTTTGTAGCTCCAGAAGAGAACTGTAAAGTTTAGGTTGCCCGAAAGAAGTAATAATCAGTCAGATTTGGGTTTGGTTTGGGCTGAGGGGTACACAGAAGTCGTGGTCAAAGAAGGGAGCAGAAAAAAAGGTCAATGACTGAGAAAAATCGAGGGGCAGAGAGGCTAAATAGACAGCGCCCAAGAATTCCCTTCCCTCCCCCAACTTGTTACTTGAACCTTATTGTAGAATGGTCCAGACTGGTCCAGACTGGTATGAATGTGAAAAACTAAATTTAAACCTGAAGAGAAAGTGGGGGGAAGGGAGACAGAGGCCTGAGCCTGGGACAAAAAGGCCAGGAAAGTGTCTTCAAATGCCCTTCTCCCCTGTGGAGAGATTTGGCAGTCACCAGCCTTGCTATCTAAATTGGACCACCAGGACAAGATAAAATTGATAACAGAAAGTTTATTCAAGAATTGTTTGACAGACACTCTTTTTAGTAAGGGAAAAAAGTAACTACAGAAGAACAAAGAAAGTTCCAAAAGGGAATTAACTCTAAATCTACAAATTCAGGACTATACAGCGACCAGTAGGAGCTGAATTCATGCCTTTTAGAACTAATTACAATTGCTCATAAGTACGAGTTTAACATAAATCTACAGCTCTTTTCTAGAATACAATAAAAACTAAAATAGCTGGTTTTACATGACAAACACAACATCCTTTATAACAAGTAAATACTAAAAAAGTACAATTTTTTTCCTTTTTGTGTCCCTCATATAAATACATAATGTAGGGGGATAAATAATACAAAAAAGAAAATATTTCAACAGGCTATAACCAATAAATATATATGAAAATGTTCACTAGAACACACGCTTTTTGAGCGATGCTGGACTTCTGCAGGCCCAGGCACCTCTCACAGTTGTTTTTATATCCATTAAAATGTAAACTCTAAGTGCAACAAAAGTGTCCTGTCAGGTGCTTGAGCAAGGCACACAGGCCCAGCTGCAACCCCCGCCTGGGACAGACAGTTTGTTCAAATATACCCTGTTTTCACGTTAAGTCAAGAGAGCAACAAAAGAAAAGAAAATCAGAGAATTTCATATGGATTGCTTTCTGTGGAGAGAGTGGGATGGAGCTGGGACAAGAGGCTGCAGGACAGGCAAGCCTTCAGTCCTGACAACTTGCCTGGCTTAGCCTCTTAACCTTTCCTTAAAAGAAAAAAATATATATATTTATACTATAGGCAGCTCTAACTTTCAGGATCTCTCACCATCCCTGAGCCCTCTGGAAATTGTAATCAATGGTGGTGGGGTATAGATATGAATATCCTAGAGCAGAAAACCATGAGGCTAGAAATGGTGGGCATAAGAAGAAACCTCAAACAGAAAGGAGAAAATTGAGGCTTCAGGGAAGTGGGATGGGAATAATATTTTGTGCCCATGGGCTTAAATGTGTTTTCTTATTTTCTTAAGGAGAGTGAGAGGGGGGAAAAAAATCAAGATTGGGGGAATTACCCACAGAGATGGAAGGTAAGTTGGTTGGTTGGTGATAGCCAAGCCATGTCTTGTTTTGTTTTGAATGTGCTTCTCTGCCTTGTTTACCAACCTCAGCTCCCTCTACTCCACTCTCTCTCCAACCTGGAATTCCAACTTGGTAGTGCTGGAGCCCTGGGATTGATAGGGTCCTCTCTAACCAGCTGTGGATGCCTTTCCAAGGGGTTGGCAAGCACATGGAACCAGGGGTGAAGGACTTAAAGACAATCCCTCTGGCCAGGGAGGAGAGAGGAACCCCAGGCCTGTTCTGCGCTGGAAACCTCGCCTTTCAGGCCTCCAAGCTGCTGCACCCCAACGGACCCACAAAGCATCACAGCCTCCCTGGTCCTTGACCTCATCGCCCCCCCACGCCCCTCCCATCACAGGTGTGTCAGTTTGGGCGCTTCTTGGATTCTACCCTGAGGCGGCGCGTGGTGGGAGGAGAGGTCTGTGTAGGTGGGGTGGGGGTCGCAGGGTCCGTGATGCTGGCTGGGGGCCATAGGGGGCGCCCCGTTGTAGTCCAGGTTCCCCGAGGGGTGGTGGGAAAGGTGATTGAGGCCGTAGAGGGAGGGGCCGGCAGGGGGCGGCAGCGGATCCGCGTAGCCGCCCCCGCCCACGTACACCGGGCTGCCCTGCATGGTGGGCGTCCCGTAAGCGCCCCCGTTGGCTTGCAGGACGTGGGGCTCGTAATCGGGTGCCGGGGTAGGGGGGTACTTCTGCGGGGCGCCGCAGCCTTTGAGAGGGGGCTGGTAGTTTGAGGGCAGCGCATAGGCATTCTGGTGGGCTTTGCCGAAGGCGGGCGGGGACGGACTCTCGTAGCTGGGGGTCATGGAGTGTAAGGCGTTCATGAAGCCGGCCGTCGACTGCATTGGCTGCGGGGGGCTGCCGGCTGGAGAGGGGCCCCCAGAAGACGAGGCCAGCCCCTTGGCCTTCTGGTCCTTCTTGTACTTCATGCGCCGGTTCTGGAACCAGATCTTGATCTGCCTCTCGCTGAGGTTCAGCAGGTTGGCCATCTCCACGCGGCGCGGCCTGCACAGGTAGCGATTGAAGTGGAATTCCTTTTCCAGCTCCACCAGCTGCGCGCTGGTATACGCTGTCCTCGCGCGCTTGGACGCCGCCGACCCCGGGGGGCTCTTGTCCCCTCCCCCGCCGCCGCCGCCGCCCCCGCCGCCGCTGCCTCCGCCCCC